AAAGTATCTGATACTTCCTTTCTTTTTAATTATTATTATTATTATTTACGACGCGTGATGTTTTTGTATAATAGATCTCACCTTGACCGTTCCTAAGGACTGTTTTGCTTTAATCTGCTTCGAAGTTCGTTTGTCTTTATGTGGTCTTCATTGTTGTACTTACCTTAAAATAAACCCGAGCTGTTTTGTTCTGCTCCAAGTCTGGCGCTCTGTGTGTGCGTCCGTGCTTTATGCAACCATTTCCCTCCACCTTTCCTTCGTGCGACGCTCGTTGTTTTTAAAACCAAGTCGTTTTTCCTGCTGCCGAAATGGTTGATTAGGGTTTATTTCTCGGAGAAAGGTTTCATTCAGGCTTGAGGCTGATGCTGGGCGGCCGCTCTATCCCAAATCTCTGCCCTTGGCCTCCAAAGGGGAGAAGAGAGCAAAACGGGGTTGGGGGTGGGGGGGTGGGGGTTCTGCTGCCGCCTTCCCTTCTGCCCTATCCTTGCAAGCTCTGCTTCGCTGCGGTGCCCGCACTGAGAGCTTTACCAAGCGAAAGCAAAACCCCGTTTTAAAAGCAGCCCGAAGCGAGAGCTGGGAGCTATCGCTTAAACCTCAGAATCTCAAAATAACTCGGAAAGTCCACGCGTAGGGACCGTTTAACAGCTTTTTAATCCCCTCCCGCGTGGGTATCTGCCTGCTTTCAGCCTCCCCTCCATCCCCCTGAGCTGCTGCGCTCACTGACAGACGTTCCCCAAACCGACGTGAACCTGTTAAAGCTGCTTCCCCCCCCCCCTCCCAAAACGCAGGGACGCAGCAGCGTTAAGGCTGAAGGTGCCGGGGGAGCCTGGAGGAGGGAAAAGCTCCCCTTATTCAAGAGATTTCCATGCCCGGCTCCTTTCCCCGCTGCCGGCACAGCGAAGGGGCTCCGCGGCTCAGCCCCGACGTGACCCGAGGGCACCTCCCGGCCGCATCCATTCCACAGCCCCATCCCCTCTGTCGCTGTGTCGGGGCTGAAGGAACCGTTCCGTTCGCGTTGGCCTTTAGAAATCGATGACATGAATTGCTTTTGATCGCTGACGTTTGGCACGCGCTAGAAATCTGGCAAAAAGCACTGAAACTCTCAGTTTAAGTGAGGAAAAAAATGCCCGACACTCGATCTGTATTTTAAGGAACATTCTTGTAAATCTCTTGCCATTTTTTTTTTCTTTCCTGGCTCTGAGTGGATGATTTATTTTTTTTTCTTTTTTCTTCTCTCTTTTTCCCCAACTTTTTTTTTTTTGTTTTCTTCTTCCCCCAACAAAATCCAAAATGCTGTTTTAAATATAATAAAAGGGGTAAGAGCATTCATCGCCCCAATTCCAACTCCTTTCTCCCTCCCCAGAGCTGGGGAATTCCTGGCCAGTGTCTCTGCCACCCCTTTCTCCCCCCTCCTCCTTGTCCTGGGGGACACAGCACGGCTGGGAGTTGGGGAGTTGGGGTGGTATTTCTCCTGATACCAGCAGTACCCACAAGGAGAGCTTGGGATAGATGCAAAGAAGGGGACAAAGCGCTTCTTGGTGGGGTCTGAGCTGTTCCCAAAGCCTCTCCTCGCTCTGCTCTGCTGCCAGCTAAGGATGGCCGGGTTTCAGCCGCTTGGCACAAAAAGAAAAGCCCTCTGTGAGGTGCTGAGAGCAGCGTAGTACCGGGAGCTTTCCTCCTGCAGGATCAGGCCGTTCTCTCATCCTAAATCCAGGAACAGCACCCGGGACAGGATGGCCTCGCAGCCTTCCCCCTTGAGGGTGCAGAGCTCCCTTGGCAGTGCCCGTCCCTCTGTCCCGAATGGGCTCAGACCTCACGGATACGTCTCACTCGCTCCTTCTCGCCGAGCCCTTCTGAGGAATTCTTTTGGGCGCTCGTTTTGCAGGCGAGGTGAGAGCCGAGTGCGTGCTGCAGGGGTGATTTTGAGCCCGATTTCGAAGCTGTGATGCAGGGTTCGATAACGTGATAGCTTTTGTCGTGACAGGTGACGGCTGGGGCAGAGAGGGAGGAAGAAAGCCAGGAGGAAAGCACAGGGCAACTCCTTACAGACACCCCCGTCCCCTCGAGCCGGCCCTGATGCGTCTATTTCCACCCCAGATAATCCCTCCACCGCGTCCCTTTTCCAGGCTCAGCCAACCCCTCCCAGCCCTTAGGACAACTTCTGCAGCTGAACGCCTCCCCCCCAGGCCCCCCTTAGCAGGTCAGAAGGGCCAAGCTCTGCCCCAGCGGGGCCGCCTGAAGCTGAGGGATGCACCGGGATGAGGCCCAGCGCGGTTCCGGGCAGCGGATGAAGCTGGTGGATGGGTTTTTCTTGCTACATTGCCATCAAACTATGGTTTTGCAAACCTGTCTGAGAGCCCAGACAGCTCTGTGGTTCAGGAGGGGAAGGGCCGGCGGGTTCGCAGCTCGTTCCTGCACCGCTGCTGGGAATTTCCCTGCATTGACAGTCCCAGGGAACGCATCCCTGGTGCTGCGGGGACCCGCGTAAAACTTTTTCCCCTTAGGAAAACCCCCTGCCTCTCCACAACCCCGGGGCAGAGAGCAGTCTGCTCCCTCTGAGCCATCCTACACCTCCTAAAGACCAGCAGTGCTCTGTGGGAAGGAGATTTTGGGGCAAGGCTGCTCGCTTTTCTGCCACTTTGGAGAGGATTTTGCAGAAAATTCATACCAAGCATTGAGGAGCCAGGGGAGAATTAAAAATACTCCCAAGCCCCTTGCCGGCATTGAGAGATTGTAAAGCACTGTGCACGGCAGCTCAGGGTGAGGGGTGGGCATTTCCAAGTGGCTTGGGGTCATTCTCAATGGTCAGCTGGGGATGAGGAAGCCCCTTCTGAAGCAGCTCCTTCAAGAGCAGAATGGACCCGGAGGAGGGCTGTGGCTGCAGAGGGAAGTGCTGATTTACACCCCTGCTTCAGGTTGAGTTACGGAGGGAGTGGGGAGCCTTGATTTACCCCTCTCTCCTCCTGGGATCCTCGGGTGGGATTGCTCCTCTCTGCTGCTTTAAAAGGGGACAGTCAGCTGGAGAGGAGGGGAAAAACATCCAGGAGTGCCTCTGTTGCCGGATCTGCATTTCTTATATTCAGAGAAAGAGCTACAACAACAACAACAACAACGACGACTACAACGTCCCCCCCCCCGGCCTCTCTCTCCCTTCCCCGGCCACCCCAATGCCTGTGCACATAACGCAGAGATGCTGCCGGCAGGAGACAGACACGCATGGGTTGGGAAGAAGACAGAAAAGCCTCATCCCCGCCTCCAAGGATTTCCTACCGCAAAGAGGGGGAGAAGAGAGGGGGGAGAGAAAAGGAGGAAGCAACAATTTTACTGGGGGAGGGAGCTCGGGGAAGCCCTTGTGTCAGTCTCCTGCCATACGCACGAGTATTTACTGTTTTAATAATCTGCCTTTGGAGTGTCCCAGGAGCGGGGTGTCCCCGAAGTGGGGCTGTGCGGGGGGATCCTGCTGCCCTGTGAATGCATCGAGAAGGTGAGAGCAGCCGGGCTCTGCCCCATCCCTCCCAATGAAGATGCTACCGAGGGGAGGGGCTGCCCAGGAATGCCGACCCTCAACGTTCAGACAAAGGGCTCTCCCCACTCCAATCCCTCCTTCCGCTTTGATTTATTTGGGGTTTGCATGGATGGCATGCCTGATGGTGTGTGTTACCGGCAAAGGAGGAGTGAGCAGAGTGGGATGGTCCCTCCCTATCCCGTCCTGGGACGAGTCAGTGAACGGGGACGGTCCCCATCCCCTTATCAAGGAGCCACCTCCTTCTCCAGCCCTGTGTTTCTCAGGCTCGCTTGCAGCGTCTCAGCCTCCGTCCATGCTTCATAGCTCTTTAAAAAAATAATAAATCAAAAGGAGGTGTCGTTAATCAATCATTTGCGGCTCCATGTGAATCCCGCTCGCTTTTACCTGTGGATTAAACCCCTTTGCCTGCTCCATGTCTCGGGAAATGGCATAAACAGATGGGAAACCCGACGGGCTGAGAGATCCTGCATGGAGGGCTGGAGGGAGGGCTGGCTGAGCTCTGCTTTTACTTCCTCACCCACCATGGAAAAGTCCCACCATAGCTGCTATAAGCGGGCGAGGAGCTGCGTGTGGGGGTTTATTTCTCTTTGAAGCCATTCCCAAGGAAGAGATGCTTCCTGATTCAGGTCTTGCTTCTCTCCTTAAACAACCAGGGAACGGGCATCTGTCAAGCTGCTTCTACTGAGCATCTCCTGTTCACCTCTTGCTTCATTTCTACAACCTTCTAACAGGGGACATCCTCACATCCCATCTCTATCCCACCCCCATCCCATCTCTATTGTATACCCATCCCTATTGTATCCCCCTCCATATCCCATTCCCATTCCCATTCCCATCCCATCCCATCCCATCCCATCCCATCCCATCCCATCCCATCCCATCCCATCCCCATCCCCATCCCCAACCCATCTCCATCCCATCCCATCCCATCCTCATCCCATCCCCATCCCCATCCCCATCCCATTCCCACCCCCATCCCTGTCTGTCTTCCTCTTCCCTCCCCCAAAGGAATGATGCTTTAATTAACACAGGGAGCCTAGGGAAACAGCCGACACCTCCAACTGCATCAGAATCCCTCAGGGCCTCGTATTAAAGCTGCTACATCAGCAAATTAAATAATAATAATAATAAAAATAATAATAATAAGCCAACAACAGAAAACACAGACCTGGACATTTATACAGAAAAAGAGCATCACAAATTCCTAATGTAAGCACCGGCCAGCTGTGTGCACTTGTAAAGTTGTTATAATCCCCCTCCTTGTTATAAACAGGAAAGTACATAATATAAAGCAACAGGCCCGCATTCACAAATACTGATCCTCCTCCCCCTCCTGCCGAGTTCCCCCCTCACCCTCCCTCCCCCCCCAGCCTTCTGCAGCCATTGGGGACTGCAGGGCTCAGCCTTACGCACCTGCCCCCCCCCCCCCTTCCCCCCAGCAAATAACGACCACAGAATCCTTTTTTCCTCCCTCCCCATCAGCAGCTCCGTTTTCTCCCCTCCTCGATCTTTTTTCCTCCCTTTCTCCCCTTCCGTTTATTTCTCCTTTTATTTATTTTTTTGTTGTTTCGCGGCCCCGTTTTCCTCCGAGGATCCTCTCCCTCTCCTCCCCGAGCTCCAGCAGTGCACATCCTGCTCTGCTGTGTGTGCTTACAGCGTCAAAGGGTGGACGTGATATTTCAAACATCAGATCAGTGCGTTTATATATTGGGTGCCCGGAAATTTTTCCAAATAAACACAGCTTGATTCGACTTGGGTGGGCAGACTTATCAACAGACTAATTCTATAAACAAATGAAGGAATAACCCGGAGACCATTGGCTGGTACCGGCGAGACACGTGGAGTGAGCTCGGAGTTTTGTAGCAATGAAATTTTAATTAATGTGGGTGGGCTGAGAACACAAACGACTGTTTATCAGAGACAATTTATTTTCCAGTGCTAAGTCAACATATAATAGCAAACTTACAACAATTATTTAACTTTTTTCCCCCCCCCTCCTTTTTTTTTTTTTTTTTCTTTTTTTTTTTTTTCTTTTTTTTTTTTTTTCCTTTTTTTTTAAAGCTATGAAGCGGGGACAGAGGCAGAGCGAGCTTGTTCGGGCTGGGCTGGGATCTGAGCTCGCACAAACCTCTCCCTGGCAGACTCATCCCTCCTGGGGGGAAGAGTCGGAGCCCCGAGCCTGCCGGCCATGAGTCACCTCTACAGCCCCCACCTCTCCCCTATGGGCTCTCCGTCCATGCTGTACCTTCCTGCCGCTCTGGGCTTTGCCCCCAGCAGCGCGATCACCCGGCAGGACCCTCCTCAGAAACCCCCCTACAGCTACATCGCCCTCATCGCCATGGCCATCAAAGAGGCTCCGGAGCAGAAGGTGACCCTCAGCGGTATCTATCAGTTCATCATGGACCGCTTCCCTTTTTACCACGACAACAAGCAGGGCTGGCAGAACAGCATCCGCCACAACCTCTCCCTCAACGATTGCTTCGTCAAAGTGCCCCGGGAGAAGGGTCGGCCGGGGAAAGGCAGTTACTGGACCCTGGATCCGCGCTGCTTGGACATGTTCGAGAACGGTAACTATCGCCGGAGGAAGAGGAAGCCCAAAGCTTCGGGGCCGCCGGAGGTTCGCAGCGGTTCGGCTCCTCCCGACGGCGGCCGCCCCGACGAACCCAAGCGGGCCAAAGGGAGCGAGACGGAGCAGAGCCCGGCGGGGGATTCGGCCGATGAGGGGGTTGCGAAGCCGGCAGCGGGGCGGGAGGGAGGAGATGCTGTCCCCGGGTGCCTGGATCGAGGCGGTGCCGCCGCTCCCCGACCCCCCGACGGCCCGGGGGGTCCGCCCGCCGCCGGTGCTGGGCACAAGAGGGGCCGGAGCTTCAGCATCGAGAGCATCCTAGCCCAGGGGCTGCGGCAGAACCCCCCCGGGGCCGTCCCCAAGTCCCGGGAGAGCCCCGTCGGTTCGCTGGTGGCCAGCGGAGGCTTCGGTTCGGCCCTCAATGCTTCCCTCATGCTAGACTCCCAGGTGCACGGGAGGCTCTACCACATCGGCATTCCTTTCCTCTCCTGCTTCCCTTTCCACTTCTCTGAGGCGGTATTTAATTTCCAGTAGTTGCCCCCATTATGATTTGTGTCCTCACCCCCCCCCCCCCCCTCCCCGTTCTGCTCGCTGAGAAGGGAGAACCCGGACTCGGACCTCACCACGCGGGTAGGGACCTAAAAGCAATGCTAAAGGTTACTCAGGATTTCAGGGCGTTCTCAAGGCACCTCTCACTGCAAAGCTCTCTTTTGTCATTGCCTCATCCTCTGCCACATCAACTGAAAGGTAAACCGGATTTTTCTCACATCACAGAGAGGGGCAGCTGAAGGGGGAGGGGGGGGGGGGGTCATGCTGGCCTCTAAGCCCTGCTAGGTTTGCTCTGCAGCTTTAACCTTTGCATCCAGCAAGATCCTCAGCTCCGCTTTCTGCAAAGTCCTTCCGCTCTCCAGTTTTCTTTAATTTTTCCTTTTGGAAACCAAACCTGTCCTTCTTCTCTCTTGCAAAAGAGACTGAGACTTGTTTTCCTGTTCATATTCTGCTTGAGATCAGCCCAGTCCTCCAAGAAGGGGAACCAGAGCTGGAACAGGGGCAAACAAAAGAACTCAGGCTCATCCTTCACAGCTCTGCTTGCTTTGACTCAGCACTGTACAGAATTCAAGCTGGTTCCCTGCCCATCACTGTCCTTCTCAAGTACTGCCACAGCGCTTCCGCCTCTCTGTTGTGACTGTGGAGAGAGGGATGGCTGAGCAAACATGTCTGGAAGAAGAAGTGCTTTCCACGTGTTGCTGGGATCAGTTGCTTCTGACCAAAAAAGACTGGGCTGCCGAGGCTGATTTTGGCATTTTGGAGTGTTAACAACCCAGAAATGAAACAGAGAACAACAACCAAAACAAAACCAACAAACAGAAAACAAAAGACTTCAGCTGCGTTTCTCAAAGTTTTCATATATATTTTTTTCTTCAAGAGGGAAAAATCAAGGCTCCTTAGAAGCAAGCAGGAATATTTCTTTCTGTTTTTATTTTTATTTTTCCCATAATAGAGGCTTTTTGTATATTAATGGATAAATGCCCTTTTGGAAGAAAAAAAAATAATCTATATTCTCTTTTTTTTTTTTTTTTCATTATGAAAATATCCAATAAAAGTATTTTGTCCAGGATTGTGGCTGTGTGTGGTCAAAGTCACCTTGTATTGTGCAGCAGTGGGCTGAGGACTGAGCCCCATGCCAGGCTCTGATGCACTGCTGCCATCATCCCAGTGCCAATATCCTGAAGAGAGCATGAAGCACTGCAGAGCCAGGAGGTAAAAGGAGATAAAAGATAACAACAGGGGAAATGATCCATTTGTTGCAACTGAGGTGATGTTTCCCAAAATGATTCTGTTCTTCTCTCTCCTACCTCTATCCCATCCTTTCTTGTTACAGAAGCATCCCCTTAAATTAACCCCTGGATTGTTGGAAATCTGGGGTCCTCAGGTGAGCTGTGATTCAGCTTTCATAGAGGATAGCCGCACTGTGCACCTCATCATCCTGCCCTGACCTTTGCACTGGGAGCTCAGGGGTTCCATTCAACATGAAGCAAAAAGCTCTCGGCTGGGGGAGTGCAGAAAACCCTTGTGGAGTTTCCCAAAAGAAAGATGCTCACACATGGATCCAGGAGCAGAAGCAGCTATGGGTTTACCAATTCCTCTCATGAAAAGGAAAAAAAAAGACAATAGGAAAAGGAGAAGAGGAATTTTTATGTAGATTTGCAAGACAGACTTTAAACAAAATCCCTTATTGTGCTGTACTTCATAGCACATAGAACCATCCTGTTCCTGAACAATTCATGTTTAGTTATCGATGGCGTCCATTTCTTAAAGCTATGACACTGAATCAGGAAAGTGAAGTGTCACTGCCCCCTCAGTGCCACTGGTGGGATAATACACAGGGCTGGGAAGGTGCTGGGGGATTATTGCCTCGAACCCCCTTGTCCCTGCAGTGCCTCTCCTGTGTAAGTAAGGAGCAAGATAAATAAATGGCAGCCATTACATGAGATGTGCAAGGTTTGGGGTGGGCATCATGTTGTTTTGGAGGCTGGGTGGGAGCACCACCACGGGCAAGAGGAGAGCTGGGTTGGTTCTTGCCTAGCAGTGCTTGAGACCTCTGGCCATCTCTCTGCCCCACAGGCTTGCAGGATTTGCTCACAGTTTGGAGGTAGGGAGGTTAATCCTGTCTCCTTCAAGCCCCAAAGCGAGCAGAGATGCTGTGTTGTGGGTGCCCCATCCTTGGAGACACCCAAGGTCAGGCTGGATGTGGCTCTGAGCACCTGATGGAGCTGTAGGTGTTCCTGTTCACTGCAGATGGTTGGACCAGCTGGCCTTTAGGGGTCCCTTCCAACTCAAACCATTCTATGATCCAGGTGCACCGAGGGAACCATCAGCAGCCATTGCGACCATCCAACCACCTCCACACCGATGCCTTTTAGTACAAAAAAAAGTAAGACCTGAAGGAATAAGACTCAAATCAGACTGCAGCTTGACTTGTATATCTTTCTTTACCCCCCTTTTTCCCCCCCACAAATGTGCTTTTAGGAGACTTAATCTTTGCAATAGGAATTTGTCTTTTGTGAAGCTTTGCTCTTGGTGACATTTGGTTTTATGTCTGTTTTGTTGGAGTGGTGTAGGACCAAGCCCAGCTGCAGCAGCTAGGGCATGGTTTTGTTTTCAATCAATCAGGAGACTGTAAAATTAACAGAATTAACATCTGGACAAGGGTGACACAAACTCAGATGAACTCAGCACCCCATAAATGCTTCTCAGTGGCAACTTGGAATCAGTTGGGATCAGGCCTTGGGGGTAACTTGGAGGGGATGGACAACAAGAGAAAGGCTCATGTTGCCAGCAGGCAGAATGACTAACCACATAAGGCTTCAACACGTCATCTGTTTACATACAGAAGAGCAGAAGCAGTGGTATACTAAAAACAGCCGTGCTTTGGTGCTGAGATGCAAAGGTGTGCATCAATACAGCAGCACCTGGGATTTTTAGGAAGTGAGCATCCTTGGTTGCTCTGCATGCCACGCTCGCCTTGCTGCTCTGCAGTACAAAAAGATGCATTATACAAATACAGAGGGCTTGACAAGCTGCAAATTCTCAGTGCTTTCAGTGTTAATGGTTTCACACCTGTTCCATAACCAAAAAAATAAAACCCAGCTTGCTGCCAAACACAGAGCTGCCACCCAGCACTTAACTCATCCCTGGAATCTTCCCCTCCTGCTTTCCCAGCCTCTCGGGTTTGGCTACGAACACAAGGCTGAAACACGGTGAAGAAAAAGTAGAAAATAGCCCATGATGAAGCACAAACAGCACAGCACTTGTGTGGGCGATGGATGTGCCTTTCCGTTCTGCTGGGGAGGACTGACCTCTCCCAACTGAGAGAGGTTTCGTGTTGCCCATGTTAACCCGTTGGAGCTCACAGCCTCTGAATGTGGCTTTCTTACAATGGGAACTGACAGTTTTGTGTAGCAGTCTATTAAGACACATTAAGAAGTTCATTTCTCATAAGTGGGGCTTTCAGTCTGTAAACTCACTCTGTGTGGGCTCTCTTAAGTTGGTTCCATTGCATATATACATATATATATAAAACAAATCTAACATGTATACACATACAGAAACCACGTTGGAGACTCATCACTCAAAGCACATGACCATCAGTGGCTGATATCGAGGTGCCATAACCCAAAGAGACTTGGTGACCATTTCTATTTCTTTTTTTTTCCCAGTCCTTCCTCCTTTCATCCTTTCCCAAGGAGAGAGAACCCCCTTTCACACCAAAAAAACCACAGCCCTCCAGCTAATTGCTCTTAAGTCCACTGTGACGAGCTATTGACCCCAGAAACAAGGGTATGTGCTAAGTTGGTTCACTGCCCCACACACCCCAAAGCCCAGCTCTCCTGGAAGATGGGATTTGGGACACTAAACAGATCGCATATTTGATTTTCAGTGCAAGACTACGAAGACAAGATCACAGAATGAGAGAAGTTACAGATGGAAAAGGTCTACGAGGTTATGCAATCCATCAGTCTGGACATTGCATAATTGCTCCCTGCAGTATATTTTTAGTGCTTTATCCAGACAAATCATTAAGTGCTTTAAAACGAGCCGGATTCCTCAAATGCGATGCGTGCTAAATCACAGCTGATTTCACAGTGTCTCATAAGACTTCAGAAGAAAGTTTTGTGTGGTCAAGGAGAAGAGAACCGACTCTTCCAAAAATAAATACTGATCCGATCCGGTATTCCTTACAGGAATCTTTCCCAAATTGGATGAATTAGACCTCTTAAAACCTCATTTTCAGATTACCCTGCATAATAACCTTATTACTTATTCAGATGTTCGCTGAGTCCGAAGTAGAACACAGTTAACGTTCATGTGAACGCCATTTGTTTCAAGCCAACTTCAAAAGCCAGTTTGGTAAAGCGTAAAGAATGTTTATTTAAAATGCAGTTGCTAAATTTAGCATGAGCTTGGTTAGCCTAAATCTTAGCGACATTTTTAGAGAGCACATTGCAAATCAGGAATGCAGGGAGAAATAAATAAACTTTCCCACATTTTTGGAAATCGAGTAAGAATTTGCAAGTTATTTCTTGCATGGGTAATTTCCATGGATTGGAAAACGTTATGACGAATGCAAATTTCCTGCTTAAAATGGCTTATAAAATACAATGATAATAATTTTCGTTGTAATTTAACTTCAAGCCAGGCTCCCTCAAGGAGGAAACAACAACAGCAGTCAGCTTTTGTTATTAAAATTACACAGGGAATTAACGTGAATCACTATTTACTCAAGCTCTTTGCAAAGCAACAAAATCTCAGTGGAGCTGCAGTTGGCTCTGAGCCATCCCAGTCCTCTGCAAGGGAAACTGTGTGTTTGAACAGGGTCCACTAATTAACAGAGTAGAAACGCAGAATCATTCGAGTTGGAAGGGACTTATAAAGGTCATCTGGTTCAATTGCCCTGCAGTGAATGGGGACATCTACTCTGGTGACATCCTGGTTGGGTTTGATGCCAACCTACCCATGGTGGGTGCTCAGCTTTGTTGGGTGTTCACCTGAGCATGGTGCACGGGACCAGAAGCGTATTAGTTCACATGAGCTCTTGTCTGCAATCCTGTGATGGCAAAATAGAGCACCTGGAGCTGTCTGATGGCCTAATTTATGTTGCTGTGATTTAATTGAGCTGTGTGGGATTTGAAGTAGGACACAAAGCAGACTAATGGGGAAGCACAACCTTCAGTCCATTAGACAGAAGACGTTTTAAGCTTTTCCCTTCCTTTCTTCCAACAGCTTCTTCCTGAGTTTACCTGGGGCAAAGAGGCACTTCTGAGCCATCTTCGAGTTATGTGGCACCACCTTAGAAAAATGAATAAGCAGGGCAGGTGAACAGACTTGAGATGACAAGGAGTAAAATTGTCTTTTTTTGAGGGCTCAGTATCAGAGGGTTGGAGCATTATTTCATAGAATGGTTTGAGTTGGAAGTGACCTTTAAAGGCCATGTGGTCCAATTCCCCTGCAATGAATGGGGACATCTACAGCTCCATCTGATCTCCATCTTTCTTCTCCATCTTATTCCCCAAAGAATACCCGTCTCTCATAAGCTGGGAGGAAATTACTAGTGGTGAAATAACAGAAGAAAGCTAATCTTTTTCCCCCCAAAAACAGGGCTTCACCTCTCTCTTTAGCCAACCTGCATCACCTACACTGTGGTGCAAAATGCCCCAACTCAGCTTTTGTGTTTTGACTCAGCATCAAGTCCCATGTGCAAATCCATCCTCACAACCACCTAGGAGCTCCCTCAACTCCCTCAACATATGAAAGCTGGAGAGAGGTGGAGTCCTTAATTCTTCATTACCTATCTTCAACTGCATACTAAGATGCTGTTTTCATTACAAAAGCAATATGTAATAATAGTTGTTAAAATAATTGTGTTTCTGTTTTTACATCTGTAAAGATTAAGTTAAACAGTATGAAGCCCATTAAACTATTTCATGTCATGCTGCCATAAATTTCCTTCATTCCCATTGCTACTATTATTCCAGAGTAAACTCTGAGATCAAGCTGCTGCCACAGAGAGTTATTTATAGGAGCTCATTCATCAATAAAAACTTCAAAAG